ATTCTCAAATACTTTGCATTTTCTTATCATAACTACCCTAAACAGAATTTATCAGTCATTTGGCAAACACAATAAATTATGTTGCATAACTTATCATTGAAAATAAATATCTATGTAAGTGTATGGAATTATTCGTTTGTTAACCTACTTAGTACACACAAGACAAAAATATAAGCCAAGTTATGGGTCTCAAATTAGAACTGAAATGTTCCACTTAACCAAAGTATTAAAACCCAAACACTTTGTATCAAGTGCTACTATGGTAGCTGATAAGACATTAACGATATACATTCACTTACTTGTTGTTGTGTGTTGTGCTGTCCGATGTCAGTCAAAGCTCTGTCGATTTTTCTAAAAAAGTAAATAAATTCTTGTAGCTTTCATAACAATGACAGAAACTGACAACTGTATTAACTTATTGGCAAAGGTGCACATACCGTTTTTTCCATCTGGTCAAAGTACGTGAAGGAATGTTTTTCCGCATCCAGTCTATTTCACTTGTGTCAGATCTATAATGTTTTCTTTTCGGCATCACTGTCTCTTAAGTTACAAAACTCAGTTGGAATGTCAGTATAGTCTATAATCTGTGAAAAACATATTCTACCGCCAAATAGAGAAAATACTGACGTAGAGCATGAACTCAAAAATTTGTTTTCAGCTGTGAGTGCCATGATTGGTTAAGTGTACGGTCAAATATGAGGATACACCAATCAAAGGCAAAGTAGGGCGGGCCATGCTGCAGCGTACAGGTGGCCAGCTTTCACCGCGAGACCTCACACGGTCCTCATCAGGTAACGGCTTCTTACGTAATTTAACAACAAGCGGGAAATCGGTCTAATAAAGTGTGTCTTGCAAAGATGGAGACTACGGAGACGAATAAAACTAATATCAGAGGTAAGTCGCCTAAATGTTTTCGAATTTGAATGACTTAGCTTAAGCTAATAGCTTGCTAAAAGTGGTTTGATGTTTTACGGGTCACATAGAAACAAGTGACCAACGTGGAAATGCTCTTTTCAGAGAATTATGCATGCGACATAGCACTTGGCGGCATTAAAATGGTTCAAACGGTAAAAGTATGCCTATAGAAACCATGTCAAATAGAATATTTTTTGATAAGAAAAAGCCTTTATTAGCATATAGCCCGTAGCATTCTAGCTAGGAAATAGCAACTTTTTTTCCTCCCCCTTCATTTACTACAGAACACGAGGAGAGGAAGTTTGCAGTGGTGCTGTGGAGTGAAGGGGAGGACTATGGAAAGCTTAGTGAAGTAAAAACTGTTAACATATGGGGGTATGATGACTCCAAGATGGACCAGCATGGGAATCCCATTTCCACTTACTCGGCAGTTATTGAATGGCGCCATGGGAAGAAACAGCGAGGAGGGTGGCCACACTACAGGGGCACTGTTGTTTTTGTCTCTGGTAAGTAATTGTTAATGATTTGAAATGTAGAATGTCCTTCTCTACTTGAAAGTAGTTCTGTAAAGAAAAACTGAATTCACTCTTTTTTTTTTTTTTTTTTTTTTTTTTTTTGTGTCCCGTTTGGATCTATAGCCATCAGAATTGTTGTCTTAAGGCCAAGAAAGATGCCAAGCGGATTTATTTTACCAAGTGGATCATCATGGCCTTGCCATAGTGGTCCATTTGATTGACCTTTATTATAATTATGAATTTATTTTATTTTCAGTTGCTACAAACGGGACAGACATAACTGGGGGATAGGACAGGGAGAAAGAATGAAAGAAAGAGAGGGAGAGAAAGAAAACCAAAGGGGAGAAGAGACGGTGAGAAGGGGGGGGGGGGAAGAAAGAAAAAAAACAAACAAAGAAAAAAAAAAAAACACCTGGGTCACCTGTATGGAGAAAAAAAAACAGAAGAGAAAGCAAACAACAAAGAGCAACATAATAAAAAAACACGGCACCATCACAATAAACTAGCTAGCAGTAGATATCAGTAGATACTAAATAATAAATGATATTGTGCAGCACGCAAGATAGACAGCGCACAATGTGCTTTGAGGCAGCAGCCAAGAAAGCTGTAGTCCGCGTCTGTGAATACCCGTGTGTACACCTGTGTGCACACCTGTGTGGATCAGCATGCTTGTATTCCAAAGGTTTCTCCATGTAACGATCTGCTAGGGAGTGTGGGGAGCCACAGCCCCGTCCTCCAGGGTATGAAGCAGGCATGGAGGAGATCAAAACTCCAGACATCCAGAGGCCCCCAGAACACAAGAGACCAAGGAAGACCAACAGAGGGGCAGCCGCGCCACTGTCCCAGTAAGAGCTGAGGAGAGTCCCAGATGAGGGCTCACTCAGCAGCCGCGGAGCAGAAGCCAGGGGGAGTTGCAGTGACGCGCCCGTGAGCTCCGCCGGCAGCCAGCTGTGCCTGAGTGACCGAGCCCCAGGCCGAGAGGCCGGGGGCACCCCACCTCCGAAGTGGCCCGAGCGAGCCCCAGGCTCCAGGCCCCGATAAGCGGCCGCCAAGGAGTGAGCCGGTGTGTACCCGGACGCCCACCCCCAGACACAAAGAACCACCAACGCACCGACACTTGAGGGAGTCCGCCACTGGCAGGGGAAGTGTTACATTCCACTTCCCATAAACACATGGAGCAACACAACAAGAACAGAGAGAGAGGTGAAGTAGATCAGATTTTCACCATTGCTATGTGTGGTTGGAATAACAGGGAAACTAGTAGGGACAGTAGTGTTAAAAAGGGTAGGAACAGTGGGAGTAATAATGGTAGGGACAGTGGTAAATTTAAGGGGAGAGATGGTTGTAGGCAGTGGCGGAGCGGGGGGGTGGCTTACTGGGCTTAAGCCCGGGTTGTTTTTTCAGAAGTCCGGGGTCTTTTGGAGTGTAATTTTTTCATAGTTATAACTATAACCTCTGCAGAGAGGGAGAGAGAGGAACAGAGTGGGAGATGGAGAATGAGGACAGAACAGAGATGGAACAAGAGCAGGTGAGACACACATGTTAGTCAAATGGTTGTTTACCAAAAGTATCACCATATCATAGGTACTCATGTATCTCGTACCTAGTGTTTCTTTTTAGGTTTGTTATTTTTCAAATTCTGTATTTATTAAGTTATGCAGGCTAAATAATTATATAAACTTTTCTGAATCTAAATAGGGGTGGCACGGTGGTTAGCACTGTTGCCGCACAGCAAGAAGGTTCTGAGTTCAATTCCACCATCAGGCCGGGGTCTTTCTGTGTGGCGTTTGCATGTTCTCCCCGTGTTTGCGTGGGTTCTCTCCGGGTACTCCGGCTTCCTCCCACCGTCCAAAGACATGCAACTTGTGGGGATAGGTTAATTGGATAATCCAAATTGCCACTAGGTGTGAATGTGAGTGTGAATGGTTGTCTGTCTGTGTGTTAGCCCTGCGACAGACTGGCGACCTGTCCAGGGTGTACCCCGCCTCTCGCCCTATGACAGCTGGGATAGGCTCCAGCGCCCCCCGCGACCCTGGAAAGGATAAGCGGAAGCGAATGGATGGATGAATCTAAATAGTAGACTTTGGTAGAATTAAAAAAATAAGTGTAGTGCAGGTCTATGATGATTTTTTTAGTGCTACTATCATCTAGTTCTGATTCTGGTTCTGTCTTGGTTAAATCCTAAGTAGTCCTGATTTTGAACTGTTGTAGTCCTGTTTTAATTCCGGATCAATTCTGGGTCTGGTTGAATTGGGGTTTAGTCCGCGTGTCTTGATACAGCCCCGACTTTGTTCTGCCTTGCTGCTTAATTAAAAAAACTACTTTAAGGTGTCCTGCAGATGTGATATATATTTTTTTCCTATATGAAGTCATTCTTTTTTAAACAAAACTCAAAACAGAGCCTAATAATCTTTCAGTCATTTCTACCCCTCCCAATCCCACATGCATACTACCCTTTAGGGCTAAGCCCCGGGTGTATCAAATGTCTGCCTCCACCTCTGGTTGTAGGTGGTGATGTCGGGCAGATAAAGTTTGAGTCACTGTCAGTTCCTGAGGAGGAGAATGTAACAAAGCCTAGTGGTGTCTCTGTGATGGTGTCACTGATCCATTTCTGGTATTGGGACAAACAAGTGTAGATTGAAGGTCCCCAACAAGTACTATAACTCGTAATTTCAAACTGGACCCAGACTGATTCTGCCTTTATCATGAGTGGTTCTCCTTGATCTACCTGTGAAAAGATATTCATAAAAACTGTGTAGACAGGTCAGTAACTTTTAGAAGAGGATGTGTCTAAGTAATATCTATCTTGCCGAAGCACTAGTCTTATCAACTTTAAACTAACTTGTTATTTTTATTTTCTGAATAGCAGGCGTGAGAAAATTTCTAAAAGTTTCATTTGACATCTGAGCTATTATTCTATTACTGGGTCTATTGTGTAACTGCAAGCAAGCTACTGACAAATGTATTAAAGAGTCATTTTACTAACAAGCTGCTTCCAGTGCTGAAAGTTTAAGCCAATCACTTAGCATTCCACCCTCTCATCCAATTATCCAATTATCAGAACTGGCACTAGTGTTAACTGAACTGGAGTTTTTTTCAGTTTCTTATTTTATCCAATGCTGGATATAAGCTACTGGCTTCATTCATCCCCCGCTGTCTTGTGCTAACATTGAGGTCATGAAATGTCCTTTGCAGTCAACTGTTTAGACAATCTTTAAATCTGGGACTCTCCACCATTGGACCCTAGAACTGAAGAAGCTTCTCGGATGAGAGGTGAAACGTCTTCAAGCAACTTAAAGAAATCCAGACGCTTTTCTCTCGAAGCTCCTTAGACTACGATGACCTGGATGACTGAGAACCTTCACAGACATATCTTTAATACAATTTCTACCAGAGGGCTGTGGACAAGGCCTTAAAAAGTCCAAATGGACATCTGGACTTGTTTCTTCGCTTCCTTCTTGGTCTTTCACTGCAGACCAATCACGATCTCCTACAAGGCCTGCTGACACAAACAGGAATCAGCTCACAGATAAATAAGAAGACAGTCCATTACAGTACATTAAAGAAAGGATGAATGGCACTCTCTCTCCAGAGAAGAGCATCAATCTGCTCCACTGTTTGATTGAACTGAACAATGACACTATAGTGAAGGAGGTCCAGCATCACCTGAGTTCAGGACAACTGTCTAAAGTTGATCTTTCTCCTGCTCAGTGGTCAGCTCTGGTCTTCATCATACTGTCATCAGAAACAGAACTGGATGACTTTGACTTGAGGAAATACTTAGCTTCAGAAGAGGCTCTTCTGCAGCTGCTGCCAGTGGTCAAAGCCTGTAAGAAAGCCCAGTAAGCATCCAGTTTGATCCTGGCAAGAGATTGCTTTAAAGCGTTTCTTTGAAGACTTTGGAGAGTTTACTAAAATGTATGTTTCTAGGCTGAGTGGCTGTAACCTCACAGAGAGAAGCTGTGAAGCTCTTTCCTCAATTCTAAGTTCCCAGTCCTCCAGACTGAGAGAGTTGGACATGAGTCAAAAGAACCTCTGCTTGATTACTTGACCAATGCAGGATGCCTGAGGCCTATGCGTTCACTAAGAGACAGGGATCTGCTGGTACATGACATTGTCATGTTTCAGGTCATCCACAGGGTTCAACGTCCATTTCAAAGGTATTTGGGTATTCTGTGTTTTTCAGATTAATTAAAATGGTGATAAAAATCTTACCTATTAATCAAAATGGCCAGTTAATAACCTAGTATAATTGATTGTGCCAAATTGATAATATACAATTAACTTAGAAGCATGAAATTGCAGAATTATTGAATAAAATTTCTTTGTGCTGTTTATCCAGATTTTGTGAAGGTCTGAAAACTCTTGGGGTTCTCAAGAAAATGAGGAGGCATCCAGACAGTTTTCGCCCTCTGTTCTGCTATGAGCCACATATGCTGACTGCTGACCAGGTGGATGATCTTTTTAACATTCATCTATCTCCAGAAGGAAGCAACAGAAGAGCTGCTGAGGAGATGGTTGTTACCTTCTGGAGAGACTATCTCCAAGATGCAGAAGGTAATTGTCACTTTAATGCACAATAAATAGATGTAACGATTTATAGGTTAGCATTTCTGAAATCTTTATTTTAAATAACATACTCATATAACAATAACACCACATTACCCTCTTGGTTGTAGTAACATTTTTACATAGTTCTTTGAGACTATTGAAAGATGAAAAGCATGCTCTATAGTCATTGCAATAACAGTCATTAAAATTCTTGCTTTAGATTAGTACTCACTGACAATTTATGTTGGCCAAATGAAATAACCTTTTAACACTTTTTTCCTTCTCTGTTTTATGCAGAAGAAGAAGAACCTTCCAAATTACAGAAGATATTGGCCTTTGCAACTGGAGCAACTGCGGTGTCACCTATTGGCTTTTCCCCAGCACCCTCGATTGAGTTCATTCATAGAGGAGACGATGACTTCTCTTCTACACCAATTTTCCCTCTTGCCAACACGTGTGTTAACTGCATTAGGCTGCCACTGCATGTTTCATACCAGCTGTTCAAGGAGAAGTTTGATTTTGCATTAGGTAACACTTACGGCTTTGGCAGGGTATGAACACATTATGCTGGAGGAGTTTGCGTGTTTCTCTTTTGTATTGGTCTCTCTATTGATTCAAAGTGAGTATTGAGTATTAACTTGTTAAGGTTTTAATATTTCCAAATTTACCTGCCTCAGTCAAATTGATGTTTTAACACATCAATTTGACAAGAAGTGATTGTTCTTCAGGATTCATACAGGTAGATACCAATTGTTTAACAGCACGTCAGAAGTTAATTTAGATTGTTGAGTTTGAATATACAAAATTTGTGTCACTTTACTCATTTCATGTGTATGTCCATCGGTTTTTGATTTGGTTGTCTTTGTGTTTGTTTATTCTTCTGCAGTTTCTGTTTGACAACAGAGCTGTCATTTTATCAGTTTAAAGAAAATGGTTTCAATATGTTAGTTTTGATCACATATGTTTTCTGAAATGTTTGTTGTATATTTTTATTTTTTGCAAAATATTTTATTTAATTCAGAAGGTGTAAAAGTGAAGAAAACACATCTATTCCATGATTTCCATCATTTTCTAATGGATTCACTTGTTGAATTATGTTCATTGCAGTCTCATTTATGTTGATGTCAATATCTGGAATATTGACATTATTGTTTGTTTGAAGTTCTGGTAATGGCCCTTCTTTATCAACGCCATAATAGTTATCAACATGAAAAATGTCATTTATAAACGACAGGATTCCCACATTGTTTGTGACACCTGTATGCCACAGCTGAAGAGGGGTCTGTCCTCCTTGTGTAGAGAGACCATGGTTGTTCCACTGATTGACAAATTCTGTTAATGCTCTTTCAATCCTTGGCAAATAAACATAATGCAGACAAAAAAGATGTAGCTCATTCAGTGAATCCAACATACCCTGTTCTTCCATAAAGTTAAAGATATTTATAAAGTGTCTTGATACAACTCTGTTGAGTTCTGCCCACAGTCTTTCAATTCTTTGGTTATGTACTGAAACACCTGTAATAACACTGCCTACTCCTATTCTCTGTAACATAAAACGAGCAACCTGCATATTTTCCATACCATGATCACACCTGACCCTTAAGGGCAAACCAAAGTTTTGTATTCCTTCCAAAAATAATGATAAGACACTTGAGGCTCTGTTATTGGATAAGCAACGTAAGTATATGATAGTTCGGCTGAAGCCATCAACACAGCCATGCAGGACCAAGCGCCACCTAATCAACTTGTGGTTGCCGTCAAAATGCCTGTTGAGAGATCAGAAAGCATTACTACAGTTCCACATGTTTGTTCATATTATTTAGTAGTGAATTCCTGACCCTGTACTTAAACAAAAACTAGAGGTTTCATTTTGTACATTTACTTCAACAACAGCACACCTCTCTCTCTCTCACACACACACACACACACACACGTGCTTACATGTGCACACACATACACACAGTGGCATAAAATGTCTTTTTCCACACTACGTTTACCTGGCACAATTGATGTTAGAGATTAAAATTGTGATGTAAAATAAAGGATTAAACAACTCAACAGTATATACATTAGAAAACATCTAAATTGATGTACTATGAATCTCCCAAATATTTAACATACTTATATCAATTTCAGTTTTTTTGGTTATTGTTATTTTTTATTATTATTATCTTATGCTGATCATATAGATTAACTTCAGTAATGTTTTGAATGAAGGACCTTTAATTTTGATGTATTGTGTTAATACTTTTAAACAGAAGGCCTGGCCATTTGTTTCAAACCAGTGAACTTACCATAAGTGGTTGGGGGGCATGAACACTATAGATCCTTCGCCTTATCGCATGACGACGTCTAAATGCACGTCCAATACGATCCACTTCCTGTAGACTTTGTCTGACCCTCCAACGTTGAACTCTTAAGCCACGAGATCTCAGACGTCCAAGAATGTATACTTCCCCTGCATTTGGAGTGTTCTGTAGGATATCCGTCACAAGGCCATTCAGTTCTTGATTTGAAATATCCACATAGCTTAATGGCTCAACTCCCAAAGTTTGTCTGTGTCTGTACAGGGTTGTTCGACTTATTCCAAAGCATGATGCAATTCTCTGCCATGTCATACCAATGGAAACAAAGTGAGAAATCTGTTCAGCAGATATAGTGTATCGTGGCCGACCTGGATGACCACTCAAGGTGGTTGGGGGTAACAATCTGTGGGTCACATAAGCAGATCTCTGTCTAGCATCATATTCATGTAGCAATCTGCAAAAGCATCTATACAAGGATCCTAGTAGGTTGGTGGCAACCCTATTATTGGGATCATATCGAGATACAGCAGCAAGAAATTCTGATAAACTTTGTGTATGATCATCTAGCTCTCTATAAAGCTGCTCTTGTCTGATATTGTCCGAATTTTCATTTTGGAGCGCCCCTACATTGCAGAGCACAAGTAAAAAAATCTTTCAACATCTTCTTCATTGGTTCTCACTTCAAACAACAAAGAATGTATGTAAAAAATGACAAAGATCCGATGTAATTTCATTGTAGATGAGGTACTGTCAGACACAGTCTTTCCAGATTATACGGGCAGCTAGCATAGCCAGGATGCCCCGACTTGTTGCAATAGGCTGCTACCCTACAACAATGTTTGGATAGTCACTGATGAAAGCAAAAGATTTTTCAATTATACCTCTAACAGACTGTTGTAGACGTCACCGCGGTGTTAGCTGTGCATTAATGTGTTATTTGTTTTTCCTCACCTTCCTGTGCAGCTAAAATACCTTCCTGTTCAATTGAAATCTTCTTGGTTTTCAGTAGTGTGTGTGAGAGCGTTTCAGTAGTGTGTGTGAGAGCATTTCAGTAATGTGTGTGAGAGCGTTTCACTTGTGTGTGTGAGAGCGTTTCAGTAGTGTGTGTGAGAGCGTTTCAGTAGTGTGTGTGAGAGCGTTTCAGTAATAATGTCCCTTACGGCACCTCATAATTAAGAGTCTCTGCTGGTCCCTGGTTGGATTGGGTGAGCTGTTTTGGACTTGTTTTGATATGACAGCTACTGATTTTCCATTTAAAAAAACTGCCTCCAGCAGCCATTCCTCTTGCAGCAACTGGCAGCAGCAGCAAACCCTTTATTGTTTAACCCTGTGTGTGTGTGTGTGTGTGTGTCTGACGCACAAGGGGTAAACTGCCTATTCATCTTAGTACGAGGGTAGCGCTTGCCTTTTGTTTGGCTTTTGTTTCTCGTAGGGTTTAGGTAGCACTACTGTGGAATAACTTGTTTTGCTTGTTGTTTTGACCTTGTTTAACTCTGGAGGTTATGCTTTCAGTTTTGGTATGATTAGTGTACTCAACCTTCAACCCTATCACCCTTTTTTAACCCTTGCTCTCCTGTACCCCCAGTCTAGGGTGCAACATGAGGTGGGGGCTTGTATGCGTTTTTTCTGGGGGAGGTGGGGGTATTGCCATGCAGGGTTTTCTGGCGTATCAAACTTTGGCCAATAAGTTACTGTAATTTCCTTATGTGTCATATCTTTCCTTATATTGGTAAATAGACTGTAGTGAACAGAATTTTTGAAGAGCTCATATATAAAATAGAGGAATAATGCATTTGCAAGTGTCTTTTATGACTCCACCCAGTCATTTTGGCCATATAAATTATCTTTGCAAAACTGTTATAATTGTTGCTTATTTCTGCTGCTCTCATGACCAGGGCGCTCTTAAAAGACATTTTAATGTCATGTTTTAATGTCAGTGACACTCTTTCATCCTCTTTTCATCATCCAGTCCTTAAGTGGCTGGAAAAACTAGAAGCTCTAGCAGCAGGCGGGTGCATGCAGCAAGAACAGTCGTCTGCCAGAAAGTAATTGCAAAAACACCGGTCCATCACAGGGAACGGTGGTTTGAGTCCACCGTTGATAATCACGTCTGCACAATACAGTGTGTGGAGTGATGGTATTTTAGCACTTTTCTGCCGAGAAGGGAAGAAGGCCATTGCAGGGGACGCTCTGAATGTAAATATGGGATCTAGATCCAGTAGCAGCGGACGTTTCACCCAGCGGCCAGATATAAAACTCAATATCTGACTGTATGGTAAAAACTGAGTAAATGTGTGGTGTGTAAGATTGCAGAGAATGGTTGTGTGGGAAAAGTTGATGTGTGTGTAAAAACAGAAAAAATGGGGTTAAAAAATGTTGAAAATGGGGAACAAAAAGAAGAGAGAAGTGTAGAAATGTGTGTAAAAGTTGTTTCCAACTAGAGGGAGAGGGTGGTACTGCAGGCCACCAGCTCCCCTAGGAGCTCCCCTACACACATGAAAAGGTCTTTTTTAGCAGACTTGTTGATGAAAATAAGCAAAAAAGAAAAAAAATAGGAAGAGGGTTTGGTGTTTTTCAATGTAGAACAACTACAATCTCTCTGGGTTTTTAAGAAAGGGGAGTTCAGAATCAGAGAGAGGAGATGTGTTGTTTTAAGCAGTGATAAGAATGATCAAAATGTCTCAGTGTGTCACAGGTGAA